TGCTTGTGCTTACCACTGATTAATGCAATACAAATAGCCTTTTGCTAATTGGTGTGCCATCTTGTTGCCTTTGTGTGTGTTTGCTTTGTTTCGTAGGCTTACTCGCCCATTTTCGAGTGTCGCACGGGACCCAAGGATTACTCCCGTGACATTCTACCGTCACCTTTTCTATATGTCTGAATTTTAATAAATCCTACTGATTCCGTACCCATGTTTCAACTTAATACCATAAGCCATGCGTGAATCCAGAGCCGTTTATTTGTGGTGACAAATAATAGATAACCAGAGCCGTTAAATGATCAAATCATATAGGTAGAGTCGTTAAAAAAGTTGAGACGTGAGTGTTTTAACAGACTTCAAATCAGGACCATCGGGTTCCGGTCTTTGTTTTGACGCTGGTCATCCTGTTTTCTACTCCTCAGTCCTCTCCGCTTTGAGATTGCAGGGATGTGGTTGATTTATGAGAAGATCTTCCAAATCAACGGATCACATCGGTGGTATCTCGTTTTGGTGTGTAGTGCGATGCTGAGTTTCACTAACGTGTAAGGTCCAAAGTGAATACTCCCCGAGTCCCGACAAAAATTTGGATGCTTTGGCTCGAACTTATAGTTCTGGTAAAAGTCGGAGACTCGGAGGGGAAGTACATAGCCGGCGAAGCCAGCGGCTCTCTTTCTCTCAGGTAGTGATGATCTGAAGATCTGCCGATTAGAGTTCTTGAAACCCTAATCATGTTGACGGAAGCAGACGAAGAAGCTCCTCCACTGACAGAGCCTCTTCTCAATAACCACTTACAGTTTCAGCTTCGTCGATCGGCTTCCAACACTACTTCGCAGGTTGCTATAGTTGGCTCTAACGTGTGCCCCATCGAGAGTTTAGACTACGAGTGAGTTCTGCTTCTGTTTAAATCCATCTTCGTTGATTTTTTTTCTTTGCTCGTATTCCTGTATTGGAAAACATGTTGAATTTCGATTTGTGAATTTTGCAGGATAATTGAGAATGACTTCTTCAAGCAGGATTGGAGAAGTCGCGGTAAGATCCAGATTTTTCAGTATATATTTATGAAATGGTCGTTGTGTTTCCTCATTGGCCTTTTTGCGGGACTCGTCGGATTCCTTATCAACCTCGCCGTCGAGAACATTGCCGGAATAAAATTTGTCATCACGTCAAATATGATGTTGGAGAAGAGGTTGGTAGTATCTTTCTTAGATCTAGAGATCAATAGGTTTGCTCCATCTGTTTCTAAATTTCTTTGGTTTGTTGTTATTTTTTTTTTCGGACAAAGGATTTTTTTTTTTTATTAAAGTTGATAATTCTGCACAGGTACGCGACGGCTTTTGGTGTTTTTGCTGCTTCAAATTTTGTTCTTATCCTGTTTTCATCAGTTATAACGACGTTTATAGCGCCTGCGGCAGCTGGGTCGGGTATTCCAGAAGTTAAGGCTTATCTCAACGGAGTGGACGCCCCGGGGATCTTTTCTCCTTGGACTTTGGTTGTCAAAGTAAGACTTTGGTGTGTCCTCAGTTTTCTTATTTGAATTTCTGATTTTGAGTTATTCCGTCTGTTTTGGTAAATTGGAAATTCATTCATCAGACGAAAGAAAATATAACACCTGGTTCTGGCCATGACAATTAAAGGTTAAAAAACGGAGAGGATTAAAAAACCGTTCTCCCCTCAATGGACAAGACCGACCGGCGAGAAAATGAGTTACAAAGCTTTTGCTTCTAAGGATATAAGCCCAGAACACTTTTTTCAGAAAGAGACAATATTTCAGACTAACTAGACCCACACAATCTGCTAGAACCAAAACATTACTCATTCCCACTGCTTTCATAGCGACAGAACAGTCAACTTCAATTTGAAAGATTGTGATTCCCAGATTCAAAGCCAGCTTCAGACCTAAAAGGATTGCATAGAGGTCCGAGAACAGAGAAGATCTGGGGAAGTCGCGCCTGGATCTGAGAGAATAACTCCATAGCCAGCTTGAATGCCATTTAATAGAGTTATTTTGTCTATCAAGTGGAAGAAACTGTATATAATTTAAACAGTTCTCTGCATAATTGGGTATGAAGAAAAGATGCCGATGATCAGCTCCATGGAATCAGGTAACTCACCTTGCATGCATAGTGTCAAGTGTGGGATAGTCCTTATTGAGATGAATATGCATAAACAATTAAGTTCTTCTAGCAATTCTCTGAAAGAGGAATGGTATGCTTAAACAATCAAGTTATTGACAATTTTTGTTCAGTGCTTGATTGTGTGCTGTGTTGAAAACTGATTTTTGAATTCTTTCTTATTTCTACTAGCATGTTATTGGTTAAAATACTTAGGTTTCTAACTAAATAATTTGAACGAGCTTTGAGTTCAGCATTTATGCCTTGCATTTTACTTATATACTGTTGGGAAATGGGGTCACTGAAACTTTGGAGGAGAAGCTCTGAGGCGCGTCTGAAGTGTCACACCAAAACCAAAGCCATCCTTCGCGAGCCACGCGGGTGCGAACAAAGTGCGCCTCTAAAGCGCCTCATTGGCCGCACACACGCGCGCACACGCGTGCACGCGCATTGCACGGTATCAAGTCTCCATTCTCTCCTCTTCTATTTCTAAGGAGTATAAATCAGCTCCTATTGAAAAACCTAAAACAAAAATTGTAAATATCCAATGTGGGACAAGTTCAAAACTGGTTTTAGTAAGAGAAAAGTTGTTTTCTAAAACAAGTGTGCAGGTGCAATTTCTCATGTAATTGACCAATCAAACCCATTGGATTTAATCTCTAATGAGATTAGAATCCAACATATACTAGGGCATCTTTGATAGAATGGGAAGCAGACTGTGCTTAATATTCATTAAGGGAATCATTTTTATTATAGACCGGTTCAAATTTGTAATTTAAGAACAAGACTAAAAGAGAATCTTTGCAGTTTGGTTTTGGATATAGTTTTTCTGGAGAAAAAAAGTGTCTGTTTGATTTCTTCATAATCATAAAAATGGAGGAAATCTACATGTGAATTTTTTTTGTTTTCATTTTTTTTTTATTTTCTTTGTCATTCTATTCAACTTGGTAGCACTGGTTCTCCTTCCACCATGATGGTAATGGTTATGTTTTTGTCAAGTTCTTACTTTTCTTCCTAGGGACAAGATTTGAGAGTTGCAACATGTTCTTACTAGTCCATTGGAGTTCATAAAATTTCTCAAGGGTGTTTTTTGTCTAGATAAGTGGTGTTTGCAGGAAGGGAAGAAGCAATGGAGAATTAAGTTAGTTTTCCAATTCCTATATTAATTTCAGAATTTTTGGGTTATCGGATATTGGCATTGTCTCAGTTTTTTTTTTAACTTTTTTTATTTTCTACTTGTGGGTGTCTTAACAAAAGATGTTTAATTTTTTCGAAATCACTATTTATGGTAACTTTTGGACTAACTATTTATGGAAATTCTCGTAATTACTATTTTTAGCAAATTTGCGGTTTACATTTTTTAGTAATTTCTGATGTCTTTAAATTAAAGTAGTTTTAGTCGGATTAGGCAAGTGTTACTAGAGTTTCTTAGGAGTTGGGAGTCCTTTTTTAAGTGCCCTAATGGGTTTGTTATGGATTTATATTAGTTATAAAACAATTATGAATTGTGTTGGGTCAATTTCCTAGTCCAAAACTCCAAATTGGAGTGATAGAGTCTGAAAAAGGGACATTCTAGTTAGTAAGGCAAGCCTATAACGAGCAACATTCAGAGAATTGGACTGGGCATTGACCTGGAAAAGGGAGAGTTCACGGGTCAGAGGTTCAATTGAAGGTTGAACCATGATAATGTGTGTGTGTCTCTCTCTCTCTATCTATCTATCTGTCTATCTATCTATCTATCTATATATATATGCATATATTCGAAATATATAAATATATTCTACTATAACATATATTTTTATTTTAGTTTCAATTTTTATATTAAAAATTAAGATTTGAGGCCAAAAAAAGAGTTTCTTGGCAAAAATAATGGGGCAAGGCATAGGAACACATAGATCTTGAAAAGTTTCCCAAAAAGAAGATCACCCGAATTAGACAATTGAGTGTTTAAAAAACATGAAAGAAAACCGGCTAGGATCGTCGGTTCACCAGTTTTCTGGTGCGGGGTATGACCAAACCAATATGGTTGAACGAGCCCAATTGGCTGGTCCAGTTCGGTTTTCTAAACAGTGATAAATAGTCATTGTAATTGGAGTTTAAGGAGAGTGATTTGATGAAATAAAGATTGGTTTAGTGAATTCTGGTTGTTGCCAGAAAATTTTCTTCTTCCCCCCCAATCTGGCTCTTTTCTGTTTACTCTAACGGCAAGAGTTCTCTCTCTTATGATTTCTGCATATTCCTTGGCGGGAAGGAAACATCCTACTTACTTTTTCATCCATATTTTTCATCTTTACTAACCCACAGTCCCTCATCCATCCCATAAAGCCCACCACCAAATCCGAATTTAATTGGACCCCTACCCATCCTACATCAGTCAACCAGAGTTGTGTTTATCATTCCAATTAAGGACTTTGTTCAGACATTTGTTTCATGGAATAGATAAATTGGAAGACCATTAGATTGATTGGGGGTTACCCATCTGGATTGGCTTTCTCAGATAAGTTTTATGTGGATTTGTATATGCCGTTCTCAGAATGGTAATCTTCTGTTGGTTTCAGTTCAATTTGTATTATATCTAGGGCATGATTTCTTCCCTGTCCAGATCTTTCTGCATGATTCTTACTGGTACCTTTTTTTTGGATATCATGGTACTATTCTTTCACATGATCATATCAATAAAGAGAAGATAGATGTCCTCTGTGTGTAAGGATTATGTGTTCTTGTATTCACTGTTCTTGCAGGCCATCATATTATGCCTCTGTGTATTAGGGTCTACACTTTCAATGTTCATTAAGCACCATTTGGTGCTTAAATTATATCATCTTGCTTATCTCTTTCGCACATATCTATGCTATGAAATTCTTTTGATCTCTTTCATCTAAGAGAAGCAATATACTTTGCTGACAAAGGCTGATGACCATCTATGAATGTTGATAAAAATTGCAGGTTGTTGGTAGCATTATAGCTGTATCGTCATCCCTAAACATAGGCAAGGCAGGGCCATTGGTGCATACTGGTGCTTGTATTGCATCATTGCTAGGACAGGGTGGTTCCAAGAAGTATGGTATAACATGGAGATGGATACGCTTCTTCAAGAATGACAGAGATAGGCGTGATCTTGTAACCTGTGGATCAGCTGCTGGAATTGCTGCTGCTTTCCGTGCACCTGTTGGGGGAGTTCTATTCGCTCTTGAGGAAATGGCATCATGGTATTGCCGAAGTTATTTGTTTGCACTTAGTTTGCTTAATTTTCTTTCTTTCCTTCATGATGGAAGCAAATGCTTCATTTTAGCCTAAACAATTGAATCTAAGATAACTTATATTTAGGAAATGCCTTTTGCTACTACTACATCAGAAATCTGTTTCTATTCTATCATAGCGTAGGATCTCTACTGCCAAGCAGGTGCATATTGATTGACCATCCCATTGACCCATAGGGGATTTCCTATACATGTTAGATGATCCTAAATGTCTCATATATGGACTTCTTTAATGAATCTTCTGATATATGGGTAAATGCAAGTAATTATTAATTACTAGTATTCAATTAGTCAAGGAGATTCAGTCTTTGAGATTCCAAAAAGTAATATCTTGCCATTATCTTGTTCTAAATGCTCACAGAAACTCTTGCATTTCCTTAATTTTGCCTCTGTAGTTTTATAAACTTCTTGCTCCATTTACATCAACTAATTCAATGTACCCTTACCACTGTGATTTTTTATGGAGAGATTATGACATTGAACATTTTGAATTGTCATTAAAAAAAACGAAAGAATTATTTTAGATTGGCATTATATACAATTTTAATATTAAGAAGCTATTCTGCAGGTGGAGAAGTGCCCTTCTCTGGAGAGCATTCTTCACAGCAGCGGTGGTTGCCATTGTGCTCCGGAGTCTGATTGATGTTTGTAACAGTGGAAAGTGTGGCTTATTTGGAAAAGGGGGACTAATAATGTTTGATGTCACCTCAGAAAATGTTACATATCACCTTGTTGATGTACCACCTGTACTTGTTCTTGGAATTATTGGGGGTATATTGGGAAGCATTTACAATTTTCTTCTGGAGAGGGTTCTCCGAGTTTATAATCTCATAAACGAGTAAGCAATTTTTTTTCTTCAATTAGCAATAATTTCTTGCAATAAAATATTTAACTCATTCTCCCTGTTTTTTTTGTTTTTTTGATAATTAAGAAACTCATTCTCCATGTTAATTTCCCATAAATTTCAGGAAAGGATATGCTTATAAAATACTTCTTGCTTGCTCAATCTCCATATTTACATCATGCTGTTTATTTGGATTACCATGGCTTGCACCTTGCCGACCTTGCCCAACTGATGCAATCGAAGCTTGCCCTACAATAGGGAGGTCTGGTAACTACAAGAAGTTTCAGTGTCCCCCTGGTCATTACAATGATCTTGCCAGCCTATTCTTCAATACAAATGATGATGCAATCAGAAACCTTTTCAGCAAGGGCACTGATACTGAGTTTCACCACATATCAATACTCATCTTCTTTGTCACCTGCTACATTCTTAGCATCTTCAGTTACGGGGTTGTAGCTCCAGCGGGTTTGTTTGTGCCTCTTATTGTGACAGGGGCAGGTTATGGACGCTTTATTGGAATGCTGATGGGTTCTCAGTCAAATCTCAACCATGGTCTCTTTGCTGTCTTAGGAGCTGCTTCCCTGTTGGGTGGATCTATGAGGATGACTGTGTCCTTGTGTGTTATTCTCTTGGAGCTGACCAACAATCTTCTGTTGCTTCCAATGATAATGCTGGTCCTTCTTGTATCCAAGACTGTTGCTGACACCTTTAATGGAAATATTTATGACATTATTATGAAATTGAAGGGTTTTCCTTATCTAGAAGCTCATGCAGAGCCATACATGAGACAGTTGACAGTTGGTGATGTTGTAACAGGGCCTCTTCAGTGCTTTAATGGCATAGAGAAGGTCCGTAATATAGTGCATGTACTCAAAACTACAAGGCATCATGGGTTCCCAGTGATTGATGAGCCACCATTTTCAGATTGCCCTGTGTTGTCTGGTCTAGTCCTCCGGGCCCACCTTATTGTGCTGCTGAAGAAGAAAGTATTCCTGCCTACTCCAGTGCTTACAGGCACTGATATCACAAAGAGGTTCTCTGCCAACGATTTTGCTAAGCGTGGTTCGGGTAATAATGACCATATAGAAGATATAGAAGTGACCGAGGAAGAAATGGATATGTATATAGATTTGCATCCCTTTACAAATGCTTCACCATATACTGTTGTGGAGACGATGTCACTAGCAAAGGCTCTCATACTTTTCCGAGAGGTTGGTTTAAGGCACCTCTTGGTGGTTCCCAAGACTTCTAACGTAAGAAATCTTCTATAGTCTGTTTACTTGCTGTTATTTTTCTAAAGATAAGATAATCTGGGGCTATGAATAAGCCATTCTGGTGAATGTGTAGTAATGACTGTTCCAGTCATGAAATCTCCTCCCTTTAATGGTTTCACTTGTCCCTATATGCTTGCTGTTTGTGTAACCAATGGATTCACTAACTACTTTTGCTGCTACTGCTTGTTGCAGAGATCATCTGTGGTGGGTGTGTTGACAAGGCATGATTTTATGCCCGAGCATATATTGGGATTGCATCCTTTCCTGATAAGGAGCAGGTGGAAGAAGTTAAGACTTAGGCCGGCCAGTTTAACTAAGCTGTTTTAGATGTTCCAATTGAATATCATGGCTCATGCCAGTATCTGTAAAAATGCTGTTGTTTTGCTTCAACATCATTGTTTTGATTCCAATTTTCATGTTCTCCGTACTTCATATGAAGGTCAGGCTTGTGTTATCTAGCTGACTGTATCATATGAAAAATAATTTATTTGTGCTACAAAATTGATTTAGTTCATAGATTAAATAATTGATTTTTTTTTTGGTGAAGAATTAAAGCATAATGATCTTTTTGTAAGTTGAAGTGCTTGTTTTCATGAACAACATTTAAAAAGTAAAAAACGTGGGTAAATTCTTTATTAGCAAATATTAAAAGACTTGCTGCTGAACATTAAGGTTGCATTTAAAATGAAGGAAAAACAAATGATTTCCTCAGAAAATAGTTTTTGACAGGAAAAAAAATCATTTTCCTAATTCTTTAGGCTATGTTTGATTTGAAGGAAAAAGTAGGGAAAAGAAGGGAAATGTAAGAAACCCTTTACAAACCTTGTACCTGCCTTTCCCTTCCTTTCCCTATTTTTTCCTTAAAACCAAACACAGCCTTAGTGTCTGGTTGTTAGTCAGAAAACAGATCAGGAAGATTGAGGTGCATATGAATGTTGCAAGATTTGAGAGGCCTAGTACTTCTGCAAATGATGCAAGGAAGATTGTGAGTACCATCTGCTACTAATGTTCTGAAAATTATTTGCTTCCCAAGGCCAATTATATTTGGCCCAACATCTATGGTGCATCCCTGTACTGTGTAGCAAAAGACGTGATTGGTTGAACATAAAAGGTAAGTACATCTTGTTAAACGTTAAACGTGAAAGTATACTTCATAAAAGTGAACCAATGAAAAGTAATCAGACTCTAATGTGATGGTTAAGAAATAGATTCAGCATATAGTCAATATTAATGAATGCACCATAGTTTAACTCTAAATTATTTCTTATCAAAATAACACTATTGGATATTAACTTTTATTGGAATTATTCATTTTCCTATGTTTCGTGTGCAGCCAAAGGGAGCCTATTCAGGGGTGTCAATTGGATTGGATTTGGTCCAATCCAATCCAGTCCAATGTGAGTCCATTATAAATGGACTAGGTCCAATTTAATCCGGTGAATGTTTTGGACCAATTTGAACTGGTCCAATTCAATGTCTGGACCGTTCAATTTGTTCAAATTCATTTTGATTTAGATTGGCTTCAACCCAAATCTGGCCCATTGACACATATATTCTTATCAATGGACTAGATATTGGCTTAATCCAACACAATCCAATATAAATTTGTTACGGACAGACTAGGCCCAATCCAATCTAATAAATATTTTGGACCGGATTGGTCCAATCCAATATGGCTTGTTGGTCCATCAAATCTGTCCAAATTGATTTTGGATTGGACCCCGTCCAATCCAAAATCAGTCCATTGGCACCCTTATACGATGGTATCTAACCTCCATAATTTTTGCACCATTTTTAATAAAGTTCTTACTCTTTCATTTAATACTGATTTTAAGGCAAATAAGTTGATGAGCTTCCTTGTCGAATTTTCAATTTTTGTTAGTTATACAAGGAGATATAAAATAGAAAATCTGAGAAATAAGTTGATGAGCTTCCTTGTCTCCGTTTTTCCAAAAGCTATTTACCTGAATAAGTTCACTTAAATAGGATTGTGATCGGTTCAGTATCGGAACAGTTGGACCTAGGGACTTTCATGTTTAATATGAATCTGCTTATATTTTTGGACTGTTGTTGGATCTAATCTACGTCTGATCGACCAAAAGAGAGAAAATTTAAAACACTAAAAAATTCTTAACTATTTGACTTGTAGACATTTTTTTTCCTTTTTTTTGTTTCACTAAAAAAAACCTTGGATTTGGGATTGATCTTGGGCTGAACTGTTTAAACTATTAACTTGGGTTATATATATATATATATGTATATGTATATTTGTTCCAAGAGGCAACACAAGCAGGTATCCATCCCCCAAACCCATAGCCACCCCACCACCCAACCAAGGTACAGGTAGGATTTGATCCGAAGTTTCTGCTACAACTAACAAGAGGCCTTACCAACTACGTTGGGATATCCAATGTTGGGTTTGAGTATTGATGTGTATTGATATGATTGATACTCTGATTTATTTATTTATTTACCTTTTTTTTTTAATTGTACAAGTACTAGAGGGATAGGATAGATCATCCCAAAGTTTTAAAACTTGTAAAATGGTTATTAATCCATGCGTTCACCCATATCTAGGTGCACTGAGTGATACAATATGATTATAGTTTTGAAAGGCGTTGAGGTGCACACCTTAAGGCTAGGCAGAGCCAAAAAGCTTGGCCTTAGGTGCCTTGCCCTTTTGCTAAGGGGCTACCGTCTTTATTTTTGAGAGGCTTACACCTCACTGCCTTGTGCCTCAGATTAGTGAGGAATAAGCCTCATACAAAAGAAATTGATATTGGAAAAAGAAAAATATTATAAATTAGTTATAATGCTTGTTAAAATTTAATAAAAGTTGATTAGTAGTTGTTTATAAATAAATTAAATCAATTTATACTAAAAAATTCTCACAATACTTCTTTTAAACCAAAAATACGTTATTTATTTTTCTCTTACTAAATGAGTAAATGTACATGTCAGAATAGGGTTTATTTTCCCTAAAACTGATTACAATGAATAAAAACATCTTCCCCCAATACCTTCTTTGTTGTGTAGGGGAGTGGGTTCTGTCGAAGTGGAGGCGGGCAAGTGAAGTGAGGGAGCCTTCAGTCCAACAAAACCCTGGCCCCCTCCCCCCGTACTAGATTTAATTCTTTATCATTTATAAATTAGATTAGATTGAAAAAAAATTAAAATATATAGAAATTAAATAAAATTAGTTTTTATTTAGTAAAAAAGGGTTACAAATGTAAAATAAAATTAAGAAAAAAAAATATATATATAACATTAAAAAGAAAATAATTTATAAAAAAATAATATATAAATTAACTATTGTAAGAAAAAATATATAAGGAAATTAATTATGTATGTATGTATGAATAAACTATGAAATATGAAATTTAAATAAATAGGTAATTTTATTTAGGTAAATTATTACCTTAAAGCATATTATTAATTTTAAAACAAAAAATGAATATAAATATAAAAATTTCTATAAAGTGAATAAACTGTACCATTAATGCATAAAATATTGCAAATAGTTTTAGTATATATGTATATATTAATGACCTAATTTAGATAAACAAAGTTATAAACATAAAACTAGAAGATAAAATTTTAAAAAACATAAGTTGTATATATATATATATATATATACATAAATACATAAAAACATAAAAATTTTATTTTATACATTGTATATATACATAAAAACATAACTACATAGTATATGTGTTGCAAATAATTTTAGTATCTAAATAGATACATACCTATATAAATTGTATTTATATACATAAGAACATAAGAATTTTAAAATTATATCTATACTTTGAGGCTTATGCCTCACCTCCGCCTTTAACCTTTAAAATCCTTGGATATGATACAACTCATAATGTATCGATTTGATTGTATGCATAATCTGATGATATAATTGCATTTTATTGCATATCATAATTCTGTAAGATTGTGATATAAAACCAACTTAAATTTTCTGTTTAGATGCTGGGATTGCACACTCGTTGACAAAACTGAGGTTTTTGGTTCAACACAATAATCCTGTTATGGATATCTAGAACTTCACCATGCTTGTGCGTACATAGGTGGAAGAATGAACAACTTGATCAGTAGGGCTTAGATTCAAGTCAAAATAATCTATTCCTCTTTCTTTTGCATCTCTTTATAAAATTAATCAAGGCTTTTCAAGTCATCTTTGCCATCAAGATTCAAGAGTCTGAACTTTTAGGGGTGTTTTTATTTTCATTTGTTTTTAAAACCAGGGACAATAGGCCTTGGCACAATAGTTGGATTGGTCAGTTGCAAGGTGGGTGACCAGGGTTCAAATCTTAGAAACAGCCTCTCTACATGTGGACAGATAAAATTGCAAACATCTATTCCTCCCTAAACGAGATCACATATCGGTGGGAGCTTTGTGCATTGGGCTGCCTTTTTTGAGATCAGCAAAAAATTAAAACATGCTCTTGAACTATGTACCCCTCTTCAGGGATATTGAAAGACTTGTGATGCAGTGCTTAAATGTAATTCTTCACTGCTATGGTGAAGCCAACAAATATGCAGTTGCTATAGCAAATATGAGAAGTAATAATAGAATAATAATTTTTAATTAAATGCCCCGGATATCCTTTCAATTGCAAATCTGCAATAGCTGATGAACTCAAAGTCTTTACTTGAAGATTCTGCCATGTCTAATTTTTGAGTCCAACTATGGTGCATTTACTAATATTTGCTGTTTCAAAAAAAAAATTAATACTTGTTATATATGAAATCAAAATCTCAACCAATTATATTAAAGATGACACATGATTTTCTTATTTTTTTATTAGCAAAAGAATATTTGTTAATAGAGAGAAAACAATTACAATTTTTAGGTAGCCTCGGCTACCCCCAAACAAAATTAACAAAAAAACATCAAATAACAGAATTTTTTTTTTATCTTTTTAGCTTTACAACCCTTGCGTTGCTAAATGATCTACTAGACTAGATAGTTGGTTGATCTTGGGATCCATTGAAAAACCAATTGCATATCCCTTGAAAGGCTCCTAAGCTTTTTGATATCATTTTTGAAACACCAAGGAGTCTTCTCATTTTGTTTCAGCCAGCTTATGATTACTTTAGAGTCTCCTTCAACTATTAAACTTTTTGAACCCAAAAAAACACTGCCTTTAACTCATTTGTTGTTGAGTCCCCTACTCCAAGCAGTCTTGAGAACAAGCCCAAAATTACTCCACTTTCATCCCTTATCACCCCTCCAATTCCAAAAGGACCCGGATTGCTAAAGCTACTGCAGAGTTCAGTTTCAGGGAGTTGTGGTAACTGGTATGGACGATTTGGCAATTGGGAGGAAAGGAATGAAAGAATATTCAATGGCAAGTGTAGCTCAAAACAATAATAGGTTGAAGCTATAAAGATAAAAGTTGCTCATGTGGTCCTGTTAACTTGCCACCTGTCCTAATGATTTTTCTGACGTGGTAGTTTCTCTTTTTAGTTTTGGAAAAAAAAAAAAACAATCGACTGAACTATTCACCTTTGCAGTGCCATAGACTCTGTTACTGCACAAAAAACCACATCAATGTGAGAGTGCCAGGCTCCCAACAAATCGGCTGCAGGGTTAACGAGGTTCATCTGTTTGCTCTTGAATTTTCCTTTCTTCCTTGTACCAAACCCAAGCCTTTCACTCTCTCAACAAATCTTCTAGTGCGGAAAGAAAATGGATAATCCAACTTGTCAAAGGAAGATGCAGCAACCAAGGATCCAATAGAATGTTCAATCCGTCATTCCATAAGGTACAAATGAATCTTACTATCATCTCTCTTTTTCTCATAATATGTACTCCTTTCACGTTGTTACCAATGGTAGCCAACGTCGTACTGGAGAACTTAGAATTCATGTAAGTGATCTAGCTTGCAATAATTTTCAATAGACCAGTTTGTGATCAAACAGTCAGAGGACACAAGAAGCTATATTTTGTAGCTATCACTCCTTTTTACCTTTCACTAAATCAGGTAACAGAACGACATCAGAAACCTGGTGTTGCCAAGTTGGCTAGTAAAATATAGAACATCCACAATAATTAGAACAAAGAATGGAATACCGGGAGGCCAAAAGACAACTATGTTTTTCTGAAATGCTGCAAACTGAAGACTCATGACCATAAAATTCCATCCTCAAGTTGTGTATTATGTTTTGTTGACACTTCTAAGATAGTCCATCCTTATTCCCCATAGTTTCTTCCCAACATCTTTCATGTCTGGCCGATCAGCCCGTGTAGGTGCAGCGCACTGGAACGCCAATTCAAACATTTTTGTGAGTACTTCTGCACTTACTACTTCCTCCATTAAAGGATCCGCCAATGCCACCAAATCTCCATCATTAAACTTCTGGAAGGCCTGCGCACCACCAGAATTACATAATTTGAATCAAATAAAGTCTTCTTTTTTGATAATAAAGTAAAATGAGTCATGACAAAAAGATAGAGGACACCAGGAAATCATCAAATCATCTTTCCTGTGCATATAAAGGTTTTTAATTTTGGAAAAATGTGCCAAGTTTATGTTTTGGTCAGAGCACCACGAATTTTAGTTGAATTTAGATATTTGAATTTTGTCCAGAATTAGAGAACTGAATCAGGATTTAAGGAACAATTATACAAAAGTTGGATAAATTCCATGTAAGACTAATAAACCAAGCTTGGGGGGGGGGGGGGGGTAATGACTCAAAAGTCATTCGCTGGTTGGACAAGTGATCATGTGATTGGGTGGCATTGGTATCAAAGATCTCTTTAGTCAGAACCCATCTAATAGCAGTCCCTCTGCATCATGTTTCCTACACCAAACATTATCACAAACTGCATTCCTATTTTAGTAATGAGAAGTTAATAACTACTATAAAACAACAGTCAAAACCTGCCAAAGAGGAGATGAAAGTACTTACCCATCTGATTGTAATCTTCTCCTTTGGAGCAGCTCTCTTTGGCTCCACTGGGCGACGGCCAGTAAAAATTTCCACAAGAAGAACACCAAAAGAATACACATCACTCTTGGAGGTGAGTTGGTAGGTCTTCAGGTATTCAGGATCAAGGTAACCAGCAGTCCCTTTAACCTTGGTTGATATATGTGTTCGATCAGCTTCATTTGGACCAAGTCTTGCAAAGCCAAAATCAGCTACTTTGGCTCTGTAGCTCTCGGTCAGCAGAATGTTGGAGGATTTCACATCTCGGTGGATTATTTGCTTCTCTGTTGAGATACCATAATAAATAAAGAAGCACACCTCAGAACCAAAGGGATCAAATGACAAAAAGGTTGTTTTGCTTTCTATGTCAATAATTTGAGTTATGCTAAGTGGAAGTGGGCTTAACCACAATAACTCAACCTTTGCTGTATTTCTTAGGAGCAGTTTACATCCAAATAACCTTGTCCCCACTATTTGGGGTCACCTAGTCATCTACAGAATCTTTTATGGAATTACAATCTAAAGATCCATGTCACCAAACTATACATCTTTATTTCATATCTCATTACCTATATGGTTACATACACGCACATTAGGTATTACACAACAGAACCATGCATATAATGGTTGTGAGAAACTCAAGCTGCTTCTTATTCTGTTTTATGACAACTGAAACTGATACCAATCAGCATAAAAATCACAAATCACAAATAAGTATAAAAAGAAAAGAGTTAAGATGAGCCAGATTGTTCAGTAAAATCAATTCATTGCTACCTCCATTGAGACCTGGGTGACCAGGGTTCAAATATTTTAAACAGCCTCTCTGTATGTGCAGGGTAAGGCTGCATACATCTATCCCTCCCCAGACCCTGCATTGGTGGGAGCCTCGTGTACTGGGCTGCCCTTTTTATAAAAATAGTATAATATATATTGCACAGCAATTTCTATGATACTGAAAAAGTATGATACCTGAAAAATTTTAACCAATCAACTAGTATTCATTCAAATTCATTCTTGTGGATTTCTAATTGATTATCAGTTTTTAAGGTAAGATATCTTTTCAGTATCAGAGCTAGAGTAATATTATATGAAGTATAACATATGTTTTATACATATACTATATGCCTTATAGTTTAAAATGTTACATATATTTAATATAATATATTTGAAGTTATAGACCCAGAACCAGAAGCCCAGCCCGGGGTGGCCCATGATTACCCCTACTCCAAGGTCTGCCAACTGTATGGAGATGGACTAGCAAAAGGAGGATGAACAGGAATATCATGTTTTTGGGATTTGGTCCCCTAAGTAGAATTGTAAAGAACATAGGGGTGGCTAGTGTGACTAGGCCAACAACGGGTGCAAGACAAATTTGTTTAAGTAGTATTCTTTCATATATTTTTAATAAAATATTAGCAGCTACTAATAAAAGAATGTTACAATTTTGGTCAACCAAGGCCATAAATGTCATTCAAGAAGTGAATGAAATACAAAACAATTATGCAATTTAAATTGCAGTTCATTGGGTAGCAAAATTAAGGATGAATAATATTCTCTTTTTTCAGTCAACAACAAAAGGAGAGGAGGAACAGTATTTAGAAACATACTTATCAAAAGTAATGTGTCTGTTTCAGCATTAGAATTGACAAGTTTATAATGGAGGGAAGTGAGCTCCTATGTCTCAAAAACAAAAATGCCTTTTCAAAACAAGATTATGTAGTTCCCTAACCTGCATATAGATGGAGATAAGTCAGGGCATGGGCTACATCAATGGAAATTTCCAGCCGCTGATTGAAATCCAAGATTTTCCCCCGCCGACCTGCCGATTATCTAAGTTTATCAATATTTAAGTTAATCACATTTGAAAAGTATCAAGTCCTTAAAGTATGGTATCTTACCATCCAGATGCTCCCTAAGAGTACCATTCGGAACATACTCTGTAATGATAACACACTCATTTCCCTTATCAACATAACCAAGTAGCCTCACTAGATTCCGATGTTCAATTTTGGCTAGTAGTTCTACTTCACTGCTGAATTCAGTCCGTAGGTTCTCACGCTGTCCCTGTCCAAAGTCTACATGTCAAATACAAGACTATTGTATTTGAAGGAAGAGACTTGAAAAAGAGTTTGGAATACATAAAACTGTTATATTCAAGATGAAATCCTTGTGGAAAAATACTTTCTTTTAAGTAGTTCAAATAGTACTTCATGGTTTATACACACTTGTGGAATAAAAATATCCTACCAGTTAACATCTCAATGCAATAAGATTTTATAAACCATCAGCCTGTTGGAAACCTAGGTTGACTAATTTGTACAGCTCTTTTTCTACTTTCAAGTTTTAAGGTATTTTATCAAACTTAACCAACTTTTAGTTTCAGAACCCTATAAGAGAATCAGTGCTCCCAATCTTCCTAAATCAACACAATAACAAACTATATCATTTTCTTAATATTATGGCTCTTTCCAGAAAATTAGTTGAAGAAAATTGACTCTTCCTCCAACTTCTAATCATGCAAGGTTAAGATGCCAATCAGTGTACCATAGTTTCTCTGTTCCCTTTCAAGCATACTACTTATTGCATATTCTCCCCTATACTTACTACATATACATGTTATTCGGGGTGCTACAAATTTCTTTTTTCTTCTTTTAAAAACATAATTTGCCTCTTCAGTTTGAACATATCAAGATTCAAACACAGATTGTTTTTTTCCTTTTCTTTTCCTGAAATGCTTATGAATCTGATGCATAAGCATCAAGGCCTTCACAAGCACCAGCATGCGCAAAACAAAACCTACATGGATCTACAGAAGAGCTCTACATGGAAAAGAAAACCCATTAAAAAGGAAATGGGGAAAATCTCAGACTCCAATTTGTAAGATATCATGGAAAAGAAAATCCACGTCACTGCACATAAATGCCTCTAGAGTCATTGGATATGAGAGACCAAGAGTCCAGCAAATACATTGCACTGAGGTGTATTAATGTGCCTGATCATATTACTTTCTTTTTTCATAGGAAAATACATTGCATTCTTGATCATGCTATGGCAGTCTAGCTGGAGAAGCTTTTCTATATTATTATTTTCATATAAGAATCTTCCATCTGTGTTCTGACTCTTCCATAAATTCCTATTTCCTAATAATGGGGCAAGTTTAATTAGATCTTGTTATTTATAAACTATTGTTTTACTATCTGAAGTAAATTCCACTTTTTTATACAACAGTATACTACATTATGACCAATTTATTGATAAAAATGTGATTTTATTGAAGAAGGCAAGAAGAATAAAGAAAACAGAAGGATCAAAAGAACAAGGGGATGGGGATATATGGGAATATAAGCTATGGGCAAGCACAATAAAAAATCAAATAGAAAGAATCACAAAGGAAAAATGTAGTTGTGTGTGTAATCCAGGACTATCAGGTACTGGTGGGGTAATAAGGGATGAGAAAGGAAATATACTCTCATTGTATTCAGGTTCCATTGGGCAAGGTGATGTTCTCAGATAAGAATTCATGGCAGCAGTTTTTGGGCAGAAAAAGCAAAAGAATTGGGTATTGAAAGATTGACTATTGAAGGTGGCTCGAGAACAGTTGTGAACTGGATGAAAAAGGGAGAAGGAATAACTTGGAATTTAACGAATGACTTCAGACGGTTGAAATGGGTAATCAAAAGAAATGATAATTCAAGTCAATCGGCAGATGGTCTAGCTAAGCAAGGGGTTCAGAGACAACCTATGTATTGGGATTTTTTGTAATTTTCTGGAATAAATTAGTCCCTTTGGGTCTGTTGTATCTCTTCACAACTTCTTGTTGTACCTCTTTTAACTAATTTAATGAAATATTTTCTGTGTTGCTGATTTAAAAAAAAAAAAAAGAATCACAAAGGAGCAGCAAAAAGGAAAAAAAAAAAGATATTTCTAGCCCAAAAGATGGAACCCGGAACTTCTGAAAGCAAATGGCGTATGGACACACTGGGAACACAGTGTCCAGCTGCACATCGGGAATATTTCCTGTACTTGTATGTTAAATTCATGGGGAAATGTTCCCGATGTGCAGCTGGATGCTGTGCCCTCAGTGTGTTCACACACTTTTTGCTTTCAGCAGATCCCATCTCCAGAAGATGAATATTCTCTGCTTGGAAGGTGAGAGAATTTAGCAAGCAGGGTCGAATCCTGACATGATTCCTATAGCAGTGAGCTGGTGTGTATGGAAGGAGAGAAATGGCAGGACTTTTAACGACAAGGCTTCTTCTGTTGGCAGCATTTATGGGAGAGTAGAGGGATTGTTAATCAGATGGGCTTCAGTGTGCACTCCCTTTCATGGCTTCAAGTATCAGACTTTTCATGATCATCGGGGAAATATTTGGCTGTTGTACTCTGTGAGTGGAATCTCTCCCCCCTTTTTCTTCTCTACTAATAAAACTGTATCTTTATCTTTCAAAAAAAATTAATAAGCAAAAGATCAGAATCACAACAAAATATTTGGTAGATGTTCAAAATAAATGACCACCATAAGCAAATTAAATATCAAGCAACAAAACCCAACCACCTATATTGCCAAATCACAGCAGATGAGGAAAACAGGATACCCATACCCCTTCCCACTCAAAACCCCAGTCAGCTCAAAGCTCTTCCTTTTCTATCCCTTGAGTCCTCTTAATAATTTTAAAAGTATTTGAAACCAAAGAGGTTTCATCATAAGAGACACATACAACATGTCCTCCTCAACTGTTGCAGGTTCTGATATAGAGAATAGGGACCTCGACTTGTGGATAGTTTTTGGAGCTTCAGTAATAATTTTCTCAATGTCCAGACAAATAGATTATATAATTATACAATCAAAGTTCCTAATCACAATGATCTTTTGTGTAGAAAATCTTCTCAAGAGCATCCCATTAAGTGATCAGTCCTCATATTCTGTGCACAGGGCATGTGGCTATTCAGGAGCAACTCATATATTATGACTGCACCACTAATCTTCTTACCAAGTCTTCTTTCATTATCTAGTTACCTTATACAAAAAGCAGCATCTAGCAATTAGTTGCATCCTGATTTCCCAATGAAAAATTTGCTCATCCAATATAGTAGTATAACTATTGATTTCCCTAAACATTTTTGGATCTAGCAATTAGTTGCATCTTGATTTCCCAACCCCGATGACAAATTTGCCAATCCAATATAGATTTTATTAGTTATACTTTGGAAATTTAATTTTGAAGATATGAGATTAATGTACTCAACTGTTTTGGTGAACAGAACTTCTTACATGCACCTATGATCCCAGTTAACCACCATTTTTTTGGCCCATTTTCATACTCCCATCCTTGTCATCGATTGGTAATCTATCTTTTTTCCAATATAATTCCATCAAAATCTTCTGCAACTTACTTAGCTGAACTCTAAAGAATCTACTCACAATGTAATGATTCCTTATTGTTATAGAAACTTTAACCTACTATAAAGCGTTATCAACCAATGTTGGTTCTGGCTATCCAGGGTCTTGGGAGGGGTGAACTGGAGGTGAACCTAATTTTTGGCATTGTTCATAAAGTGGATGGTCCCATACTTGAACCTACATTCTCATGCTTGACAACCCAAGATTTTGCCATAGCTCAGTGGCCCCTTCTTAAATGTTAACCTACTATATATACTCCTATATTAAGACCAGGTAAGTAGCAAGCAAAGAAAGAATAGAATACCCTTTTTGCTCTCTTGATGGCAACAACTTGCCCATCTTGCAACTGGGCCTGGTAAACAGTTGCAAAACCTCCTTCACCTATCTGAAGTGACTGTGAGAAATTGTTGGTAGCTTTGATAATCTGACTCATGTTGAGATGTACAGATCCAACTCTACTAAATCTTGGTGGTGACATTGGGAAGCGAGGACTAGGTGGCACTCTATGTGGACTGGGTGGGATCTTCTCAGAAGCAGAAATTACCTCCATTGTAACTGAACCTCCTGCAACAACAAAATGATCTAGTAAGGAAGTAAAACTATAAAAGGATAGAACAATACTAAGTTTAACTGTGAAAGCTATAAGTGAGGTATTTATTTTCAGTTTTCAGATAGGTTTCTTCTTCAAAATGCAGTGTCTTCTCAATATTTAACTTGAGTTTCAATAAACCCAACCAAATCAGAGAAAAGTTTCTATTATTTAAAAAAACAAGCATGTTTTCCTAAATCTCAGTAGGACAGTTATACAGAGACAGTGGGAGTATATCAGTATAATGATAAATAAAACTAAAATTAGGGAGTGTATGAGTACAACTAATTCAACTCTAAATTTAATTACCACATGACAAGCAAGCCTATATATTCATGCGGTGAAGCTTATCTAGGGGAGACAAGTCTTGCAAAAGATTCTCCAGTTATCCAGAATAAAAAATGTCTCTAATGAGTTGACAGTTTATAGCATTTTGCCATGGGTTTTACCAGCAATTCTAGGGAAACATCTCCCAGTCGTCCAGTACACATGTACCCCTTGAATTCTAAGAGAATCCATATTTAACTTGCAATGTGGACCTTGATAGCATGTTGTCCTAATTACACATTGTAAGAAAAAAAACTTTCTCATGTTATATTGTTCAGCATTTCTCATACAATACTTTTTGAGAGTTTCAAGTATAATAAGAAAAGGAAAAGAAAATCATGTAACATGCATTTAAGATGTGACTCACTTGTACTTGGGTCCTTGGCAACAAAAGCACTCTCGGCTTCTTTCCTTCTTGAATGGAGACAAGGACAAAGTACAACGCAACAGAGAAGAAGCATTCCTGGCACAGCCATGGCCAGGGTCTTTGGGGTTAACCAAGAATTGTGATCAGTATTATTTTCTCCTGCATGAAACTTCTCATCCAGCTTATGTAAAGTACCTTCTTTTGTTTCCAACACACGCCGATTTTTTCTCCCCACCCTCTGTGGCAACCTCACTGCAGAAAAAGACAAAAGGACATCTTCCTCATGAAATCAAATGAAACAACCCTTTTCAGATAAGTGATAATAAAAAAACATAAAAATGGAAATGAAGTCCCCGGAACAGTGAGTCCAAAGCCCAAATCAAGCAATCATAATAGTAAGTTTTGGTGTTTATATCAAATCCCTAGGAGGCTAAGACCTTATTGGCACTCAAAGTTATCAAAGGTGCGTACCTCTGTACAGCTCCAACTCCAAACCACAGTATTTCCTTCCAAGTCCTTGCCATTCTTCCAAACCCGACTGACGGGAACATCCATTTACGTGGAATTCAAGGGAATTACAGAAAGTAACTTTGTCTACCTTGTTCCCGTTTATGTAAAACAACTCTTCATCCGAAGATATTGCATGGGCAAGTCGATGAACTCCACAGCCCTTTAACTGAATCACTGAACCATAGACAAAGCTTTCCGGCAACTGTATTAACACCAAGAGAGTCAATCCAACTAAAGCCATTTTCAAAGAACTAACGCCCCCAAAATCCATTGTTTTTACTACTAATGAATATAGGGAATCATCTCCATATTTACCAGGCTTCCAGGTTCCAGCCAAACAAAACGCAATAAAAGCGAAGTACCTCACAAAATTCAACCAAAATTCTCGACACCCGTTTAAATAACCGATACAACCCAGATGGCAGGAGAGTTTGAAGTCCAGAATCCACTACAGTGAAGTCAAATACAAGGCTTCAGATTGTGAAACCATGTGAAACCCACCACTAGAGATTCCATAGAATTCTTAGATACCCAGTTGACCAAATCGACAGAGGAAGCGAACCCATATAGCAATAGCTCCAAAAATCCACTCAAATGCAATCTCTCTCGAACCCAGATACGAAAACAGAGAATTGAAGTGAAATACACCCAAAATCGCGAATTTGCACAAAGGGATCAACCTGGTTCTGCGTGATTGACCTGTACAAGTGCAGCCGAAGAGGGCGATCCCAGATTGAAGATGTTGTACTATTGAGGAGCCGTCAAAGCAGAAAAAGACTTGGCTTGTTCCTTTAAAGAAGCATCAAAGAAGGCAGAGGCGACCGTCCTGGAAGGTGGGCGGATGTATTCGCCTAGACGCCTTTCTCTCGACAAAGACATCATTTGCAAACTATTGACCATTGAGAAACGAAGACTGTGAAGTGCGAAGGAGGAGTAGAACGACTTGAACCTTGAACGTGATTGACAACTGCAAGTCTGCAATGCAATCTCTCGCAGAGGTGGCACTCACGCTCACGCAAGCTTAATACATGACATGTCATCTCACCCATATGTATGCAAGTCTTGGCCGTTCATTTTATGATTTAATTAATCATAGCCGTCCAGTCATTGTTGATTGGTCAATGGAGTGGTTTAATGAACGCTTCGATTTGATTCTAGCCCCCCTCTACGCTCCAAGAGTAAGAGCTGACCATTGTCTTGTTCTCTGGTGAAATTGTCTGGTCTGGTTGGTGAGATTTCATCCTAGTGGCCCTTATTCCAACCAGCAAAGTTTGAGATCTGATGACAGTTTGAGATTATTAAAACATTTGCCACGTGGACACTGAGACGCGCTTTTGTTACACCTCTGAGCTCATGGACTAAACATGGCTCAACTACTTGGGCCGGAGACACATATGACATAGCAAATATAGCATAGCGGAGGTTTGTATTATGGGGGAACTGGGAAGGCATCTGGTCTGGGCCGGATCTGGGTAGACCCAGTCCCGAACCAATGAGAAAATTTATATAGTAGTTGACTCAGAATAAAATACTTATCAGTCTAGGTATTAATCAATTTTTTTTAATGGATCTGGGTATTAATCAAGTTGGAAACTTGGAAATGTAAAATCAGTCCCAACAGCCTCAGACGTTTGGTGTCAGGTTGAACCGGACCAATCTATCAGGTTGATCGGGTCAAATCGAATCGGACCATAAACAGATTGAGACGGCGTACAGGGCTTTTTTATTGATTCCCCACCTCGTAAACTTTTATTAGTTTGTACTATTTAGAATAGAGATAGATGGTGGAATCTACCAAAATGTAAAGGGTACTATAATGTATATTATAGATAGAACTTGATAAATAAAATTAAAAATTAATAAAAATTTATGAGGTAGGACAAACCATAATTTTTTTCATGGGCCTCTTTTGGTTAATTTATCTATTTTCAATAACAATGAATATTTTATTAATTGCAGGTGTCGTTTAGGCTAAGCTTAGGGAAAATGCAAATATAAATATGTTAAAGTGTAAAACATTGTACACAGTATTCCTAAACCTCATATTTATATTATACAAATATGAACCGTATATGAGGTGTACTGAACATATTTGCATTTGGCATTGTAGATATATACAATATAAGGTTTTACGCTCTACATATTTGTATTTACACTCCTTCCAAATGGAGCCTTACAAACTGTTGGGAATGCATTAGAAGCAGAGTTAGGGATTATTTTACATGCAACAACGAAATTAAGAATAATCGATTATGATATGGAAAACCATACCATATCTAAAACTTTTATTACTGCCATGTATACAGCAGTTACGGAATTTATTTAAATAACCGGTAATTATTTTTTATATATTAATTAAAATTTAAAACACTCTTTAACTTATCCGTTAACCGAATCCTTGTTATCCATTCTTATCTCCTTCGAGGAGTTCCCTCTTCTGGTCGAACTTCTGCTTTTCAAATTGTAAATCCACAATTGGGTTGTAGATTTGACCTAAGTAAAGGATTTGGATTTGGTGAATACATACCCCAGGATTTATGTGAGTCAAAATAATGTTCTTCTCCTGTAACCTTATAAGTGGACGGGCAATTGATTGATAGTTGTCAACAACCTAATCACATTTCCATTGTCAACAACCTAATCATTTTATGCACACTGTTTCAAAATAATCTTGTCATCCTTATAGCGCTTAACCTCTGCTAACATGCTAGCAATGCGTTGGGGATCCATCTCTGTATTTATTTTCCGCTGTAAGGCATCAATTTGATCCTCAAATGATAATGATCGCATTGTGTTTACAACTACAAATGTTTCATCAAGATCAAATACCATGCCAAGACATCTAAGATTTAGCGTGACAAGACAAGAATTGTAAAGCACTGGTGCAACAATATTAAAACCCCAAAAACATTCTTCCTATATAACATGGCTACCAAATGGAGTTCCTCCTCTCCTAGTGGCATAACTGTAGTCTGTAAACCAAAAATCAATAAACACAAGGCATAGTAAGTGAAAATAATGCTTTGAGAAGTTGAAAATAAGCACACAGGAACTAACTAGTAATTGAGTTGTATTTTCAGAGGAACTAACTCAATCTCTAGTGCTACAATTCAATTACTTCACCACCTCGGCAGTTGTCCACGGATATGTGCATTGTGGAACTCTTCTTCGATGGCAAAATCCTACAACAATCCCTCTTTGGTGAATGCACAGGAAAAAAGAAATCTGGTTAATAACCAAAATGCAAAAAAATACACCTCTCATCTCCTATAGACTATAGTCTATAGATGTGGCTGCAGGTGGTTAATAGAATAATAAGTACTTAAATAGCTTAATTAATTAATTATTACCTTCCGCCAGCAAAGGTTGTCTGGTCTCTTGAAGACGACAATGGATTCGATTGTAGTTGGGGAAGCCATTTTCCATCAGCAATAAAGGTTGTGTTTCTCTTAGTGGGACTCAATTGCTTCTTGATAATAAGGTTGGTATAATGCAAGGCAAGGCATGGGGTTGGAATTTGGAGATAAAGAGAAAAGGGGGAGGGGGACATTTTTTTTGAAATGTGATTTAAATAGTTGTTTTTAAAACTGGTTACCTGCGATAACCCGTATTCACCCAAACAAAAAGTTGAATGTTGATTGATCCATCTCATCCGATATGATATGGAAGAAAAAATGCTTTTTCCATATCATAGGTTTTCCCTTTCATAATAGAGATGTGTGGTTGTAATTCACGATGGGTAGAGAGTGGGTAGGAAATATGACTTTGTTTTTAGATTTTTTTTTTCTTATTCTCAATCTGTTGAGTTCAAATCAGCCCCCAGCACATCCTTTGAATCGAAAACATCTCCTGATGATGATATCATCATTTCTAGTATTATCATAGGGAAATGTTCCCAACGGCAAGAATGTGATGTGGGAAGTTGTGGGGGCTGATTTAAGTGTTGGCCCAGAAAGCCAAAAAAACTGGGTTGACGTCTTTAGATCCGCTTGTCTAACCTATCAACTTGGTTTGTTGGACTCCAATACTTTTATTAGTTAATGAATTTCTTATTTATAAATAAAAACATACATATGATATGATAATATCATCATTTTTATGCCATGAGAATTAAACAAAAGTTTTAATACCGGCTACCAGCATAACACAACCTTTATTTAGATTTTAGGACCTACAATTTAAGACAAGCCCACACTCACTCGGGATTGGAAGAACTTTAGCTGTTGGGAGCCAACAGCCTATGCTGTTGAAAGAATTTTTGGGAATGCCATGTTATTATGAGAATAGGTAAATTAGTAATTATATATTAATTTAATTTTATTAAAAACCAAAACATGGGCGTAAATAAGTGAACTGCTTAGCCCAAAAACTGTCTCAACAGCCTATACTGTTGGGTCCCAACAGCCAAAATTAACCCCTCGAGATTTTTTACCCACTCTCTACCCATCGTGAAATTTAGGCTCGCTAACACTAGCAAAGTTAAAGTTTACAACTTTACATACAGTACTTCACCATTAATCGATGCATATTAAGTCTATATTTCAATCAATCATATTATAGTATACTTAACTTTTATTTTTATTTTTATTTTCCTTTATAGATAAACAAACAACTAGAAATCTATAATACATAAAGGAAACCAAAGATTTTTCATCACAAAATGTACTTTTTAACTTGTTCAATCAATTACATCTTTTATTGTACAGTGTCGCGGATGCATCATAGATTTTGCCTAAAATCAATAATACACATCCGATATATCCACTTTATTGGAAACCAACTGGAAATGTCATGAAAAGTGTAACTATACGCCCACAATATGGTGATAGAAATCATACGCTCACAATATGGTGATAGAAAGTAGCAAAACCATAGGTGGTAGTAGCCATCACTATACGCCCACAAGCTTGGAACTTCGCTACCATTTTATGATTTTATCTCATATTCAATGAATTCACATCAGCGTCCCACAGTATATTTCAACCGTGTGTTAGGAACATCTCCCACTAGAAACTTCCGGAGATATTCTCAATGCAAATTGAGATGTACAACTGAGATAAGCATGCTGACTTAGGAGTCTTCTATGTATGTGTACACGTATAAAAATCCCAAAATCATTGGACCAATCATTACATGCCACATCGTCCTGGCAGTTGGGTCTCACGTGTGTAGGGCTGTTAGCTGTATATCATCTGAAATTTTAAGTTCGTGGAATGAGGACCCATTGATTTTCATTAGAATCTTTTGCATCAAACTGGGTTGAATCTGGGCCCAAATTGAGTTGGGTCAAGGCCCACCAAACACTACACATAAATAGACCTGTTCATGGGCCTGGTACCCAAAGTCCATTCTAAGTCCGGTTTATTACCCAATCTTTCCAGTGAAGCCAAACCCACCCTTTCTTTCTACTTCTTCCCCTTCTTCCGTGGTTTTTTTCTGTATCAGAGATTCTTCCTTCTTGATTCTAGTTAATAAATTTATATTGGTCTCTCCCAATGACAGCTCGAGGATGATTTCCTAGAAAACCTTTAACCTGGTTTTGGTTAAACCCTTGTAGATCAATCCTTTCAGTAATTTGCTCTAGTACTTGCTCTTCTGAAACCTGACGGTAGTTTCTTTCTTCATGTCCTAAAAGGTCACATCTTAAGCAGAATATGGGCAACTTCTCATACTTGAAATCATACCACCGCTTTTGCCCATCTTCCTCTTCATCAAAATTTCCTGGAACAATCGGTTTATCCACCTGCATGCAAACCCTCATTTTGAAAAATCTATTCCACATGGGTTCCTGTTCTTCTTCTTCTTCTATCAGATCACTACCTTCTTTTATAGAGGTTCCCACACACTTAACCAGATTTGCTCCTTATTCCTATGCCTGTAAACGGATCGAATTCGAAACCGATTATAAAGAACAATATTCGAATTCGATTTGATATCCGATGATATTGAATATTTCAATTCGAATTCGATTATTAAATTGAATATTCGATACAATT